CCATCCACACCAAGGGATTGACTGTCACTTTTATAACGTGCCACAGCTTAAAGTACGGGAAATATTTTTTTGGATTCAGTAGAATCGGGGCACGGGCCCCGTGTACCAATGTCTAGCGATGCCTCTGCACTGCAAGACGCCACTGGCTATTTGAGATTGCTAATATACCAGTACTTACGCTTATTGGTAAAGTGATACTAAAGGTTTTTATGAAACTTATATACTGGCAACTAGGTAGGAAGTAATGGGGTGAGAAATGATCGGATAATAAATTAACCCTTGTTTGTGGAAAATTTAGTGCTGGAGCTTATTGACGATGATTAAAGATAGGGTCGTAGCCAGTACTAAAGAGTTGGGGAGGGTTTTTTTTTCTCCAAAAAAATTATACTTTTTCTTCAACACAAAGAATTTAAGTGCTTTACATGAAAGTTAAGTGTTTGTTTAAAAATTTTCACAAGATAGTGGACTTTTTTTTTATAACATCGGGGTGGTCGTTTGATCCCCCTGAAAGATTAATTATGTTAATTAAATCAACCAGTAGTCAGATATCTGGCTTGGCTAACTTACTTTGTTTATATAACGAATTTAAACAACTTGTCTCATTTATACGAATAATTTATTAAATGGTACTCTTAATTTTTTTTATCGTTTATTCGAATTGTCTTTGTATTTTGTATTTATGGCAAAACTACTAAGGATATGTGCCAACGTCGTTAATTTTGAAATTCTGAATAGAAGGAAAGCAGCGCCCTACCACCCATCCACACCAAGGGATTGACTGTCACTCTTATAACGTACCACAGCTTAAAGTACGGGAAATATTTTTTTGGATTCGCACGAATTCAAACCCGACGGGCAACTTCCGAAATCCAGAATCTCGATTACATATATGTGTAAAATATTACCTCTCAGAATGTACAATAAGAATAAGGCGCGTGAAAAGATTTATTTTGTGAATTTGAAATCAACTTTTTAAACCGTGCTGCAATTTTCTACTGTACTCAGAAAAAAATCACACTTCTTAAATTTGAAACCATTATGGAAGATATGTGACGGACTGCTAAACCGTTACGTTCTTCCTGGATAACTTTGCTATAGTGTGTCTAGGGTCAATGTACGTCACAACTTCCTCATAAAAGGTCATTCTCATAGTTTCCTAAACGGAGATGAAGCAATTAAAGAAACGTCCTTACGTCATCTCCTTTAATCAAATCACTGAATCATTTGTCAAAAATAAAATGAAGTGGTACATTACTGTACATAAATTATTGCTTTAAAAAAAGTAGAAGCGTAATATATTTGACTTTTAATGATATCTCCTGTACAACCTAACTTGGATATTATCATCACAAGCAGTAAAAATGTACAGGTTAGTTATACAAAGGTATGAAGGGGCAAGTGCTTCAGCGAAAAGTCGCCCACAAAAAATAGAAAGAAACGATTGTTTGTAATTAAGCACAAAGCTACCCGATGGGCTATCTGTGCTCTGCCCATCACGGGTATCGAAACCCGGATTCTAGCGTTGTAAGTCCGCAGACATACCGCTATGCCACTGGGGGGCAGAAAGAAACGATGAAATTACAAAGTCGAATTTCTTCTGCTTATACTTTATTACCAGAATTAAACCCAACGCGTATTCTTGCTTAAATTATTTTAACCTAACACTATCAATTTTTTCATAGTTTTTTAGTAACAGTATATGTGTGTGTGTGCCTTTACCAGTGTGATAACATTTGACATCTTGAGGTTTAGGTCCAGTACGTGTTATTCAAATCTTATCTGATTATGATAGGCAGTTTAAATTTGAAACCTTTATGGAAGATATGTGACGGACTTTTATACCGTTACATTCTTCCTGGATAACTTTGTTATAGTCAACTGTCTAGTAAAAAGTTTAAACCAATTGTTTCATAACGTACAAATTAATATGGGGTCAAGCGTAGCCTAGTAGTTAGCATGTCGGGCTAAGAATCAAAGAGTCCAGAATTCGAGACGTTATGCCACTGAATATGCTCCGCTCTTTCAGCTGTGGTCGCAATATAAGTGATAGTAATTCACGTATTTTTCTTCAAAGGGCTACACAAAGCTTTTGCGGTGGCGTGTGCTCCTGATTCACTAGCTTCCCTCTAGTCAGTATTTGAAAAATTAGAGACGACCCTATCTGAATCGCACAGATCTCTGGCCTAATGGTTTTTAACCTAACTACGCATAAGATGTCGTTCAAGTTGGAAAATCCTATTCAATTCTTATGACATTCGATACGACTATTAGTTGACAGTCAGGGCCAAACGTAATACTTAATCTCTTATATTACAGAATGATAATTTTTAATAAAAACATACCCTATTCACGAGACTGTAATTGCTAGCATGACACAGTTCTTCGAAATGATATTAATATATTATATCAAAATTGTCTGCCTCTTCAAAAATGAGTAAAAAATTACAACTTGGCTTGTGGTAGAGCTCTAGATTTCGGAGTTAGCAAAGCTTGTTTTTTTTTTTGTTTGTTTGTTTTTAATTATGCACAAAGCTACACAAGGGCTATCTGTGCTCTGCCCACCACGGGTATCGAAACCCGGTTTCTAGCGTTGTAAGTCCGCAGACATACCGCTGTGCCACTGGGGGGGGGCGTTAGCAAAGCTCGATTCCGTGCGATACCATAAAATATTTCCTGCACTTGAAGTTGTGTGTGTGCGTTATAAGAGCGACAGTCGATTCATTAGAGTGTACAATAGGTGATAGGGTGATGCTGATTGACTGTCTGTCTCTGGTCAATAGCTCAAAATTAGGGACGGCGGTGAATAGCATTTGTTGGTTTGACATGAAAACAAAATACAAATAAACTAGGTGCTGTAAAAATCTATTATATATATAACGTTACAGCGGGAACTGATTATCTATCTCTACGCTTTACACTTTTTCATATTGGACTATAGTTTCTTAACAAACTCTGTAAGCATTCTTTAATATTCGTTTCTTATTTTCAAATGTTATTTAACTTGCTCTTTGTGCTAAGTTTTACTGATGTGAAGTTTGTTGAAAAACACTATGTTTTCTTAGTGCTAAGCCACATCGGGCTATCTGCTGTGTCCACCGAGGGAAATCGAACCCCTGATTTTAGCGTTATAAATCTGTAGACTTACCGCTGTCCCAGCGGGGAACAAAAACATTATGCAAAAAGTCGACTACGTTACCCAAATCAAAATAATTCATTATCCCTCGCCAAAGGAACCAAGGTCTATTACAGATATCTTACTCTAGTGCAGGCCCGGCATGGCCAGGTGGTTAAGGCACTGGACTCGCAATCTGAGGGTCGCGGGTTCGAATCCCCGACATACCG